CAAAAACAACCGCAGCAATTGCTCCAAATGACGCACTTTCCAAACACCAACAACAACAACAACAACTGCAACAACAACTGCAACAACAACTGCAACAACAACTGCCGCAACAGTTTCGAATTGCACAACACTGCGCCACAAAACAATCAAAATGCGCTTGCAACTTCAGAGCGCCTCACTTGCCCCAGCCCCGCCCCGCACCGCCCCGCCCCAGCCCCTCGATCCACTCAACAAACAGAAACGACCTTAACAAGCAAAGCCTCCGCTTCAGTCCCCCCCCCCCCCCCACCGTCTTCAATCCCCGCCTCAGTCACAGCCTCAGCTCGAACAGTCTTGAAGTTCTTTCTCAATTATGCGGGCACTTAGATATCTATACACACACACACACACACTCGCTCACACATGTTGACATTTATCTAGATACAATAGAGTATTAATTTCAAGTCGTCTCGGAAATAGATGTTTATGCATATATCCATAAACATATATGTATATGTATATATTCATAAAAAATTGACTCGCATTCTCAAGCGTCGATGTTTGCAACACATTTCAAAATTGGTTTCTTCAAGGCTGCGAACCGATTTTGAACCGGAACCGGAACTAAATAAAACAAAATATGGTTTTATTTATCGTAAAAATGTGACGAAACAACGTTTGAGCCCAGGCCTGAATTGGCGCTGGTTCGAACCCAATCCGGATTTGTCATATGTGAAAAAACAGGTTCACGAACCGAATCTCAAAACTAGGCAGTGGTTCAAACCCAAGTTTTACTTCTCATATAAGAAATACAAATTCTGCAAGAAACTGCAAGAAATTGCCCTTAGCCACGAAGCGAACCAACAAGATTTTTTGTTTAGCTGCATTTTTGGGTTTGTCTTGGTTTTGTTCTCAACTGAACCGCAAAAATGTGTGCAAAAGCGTTGCTAACACTATGCAACACCAGTGTTGTAAAGTACTAAATGAATTAAGTGAATTTATATATTGCAAGCGAATAATATGATGAGATGTTAAGGTAAAGGATTATAAGGTAAAGCATACTCATCGAGCTGTCCCTTCGGTATCCGGATTCGAGTCCCAGTCTAGTATTTTTTATGTAATACTGTTTTAGCCCTAGATAACAGTCAATTAAGACAATCAATTAAAAGCTTTATGCTATGCAAATCATAATAAAGTCAAGCCAACTCTCGTTGTTCAATTCATAAAAAACTCATCTTGTGTGCAGAAACCGACTACGAAATCATATTCGATTTCATGTTCACAAGGTTCCAATAAACTAGAAATATGTCAAGTGCAATATGATTATTTTTGGCTCAAATTTATTCTGATTCATAAGGCTGAATGATATCTAAATTGAATTAAAACAATTTCAAAAAGTGCGAGGGCACGAGAGACATGACAATGGAAAGAGAATAATATTTCAATACTCCAATCAAATTCATATATTATTCCTTGGACGTCTATACAGAATGGGCACAGCTTGGCTTAGTCAAGTTTATATCAAGTATTTGCAAAAGTTTCTCATGTTTTTTCCCATATTCACTGGCTGAGAAAAGAGAAGTTATAAGTTTCGTTCGATTGAACTTTACATATAGACTTGTTGCAATTCCACTCGCAACTGTGGAAAACGGGCGGAAATCGATTTTATGTCATTTTTTCAAATAAAAAGATTTAATGAGAACTTCAGAATCATTTTAAAATATCTTAACACGTGGGATTTCAAGATAGTTGGATTAGATTTTGAACGGAAGAGTGTACTAAGAAGTATATTTAAAATTTGAAGCCATAACTTGCACCGCGCAAGGCCGGGCAATGCTCGCTAGCATATGTATCTGCAAGTGTGAACATATATGTGCATAAATATATGAACCTTTGGGCCATAGATCAATAAATCTATTCAAGTTTATAGATCAGATAGTTCTTGGATATTATGTCGATGATTCGTGGCCCAAGTCCTTTATTATTTGTTAAAAGCTGCTATGTTTATAATAATAATAATGAATAATTATAAACTCTAATCAGTTTCAGTTCCCGTCCCAGTTCAAGTTCCAGTTCCCGTTCCAGTTCCAGTTCCAGTTTTTAGTTCATTTCGTTTGCACACGCCAAATAAAAGAGTCCCGAACAACAAGTCAAGTGTCGAAAATTCATTAAATTTACAAGGACACAACTTTGGACAGCGCACTCGCTGTGTGTGCGTGCGTGTGTGTGTGTGTGTGTGTGTGCGAGTCTTTTTTGTGACCTCTGACATTGCATTTAATCTCGTTGACAGCACTTAATACGCCCCCGAGTAGTAAAAGCGGCGACGCCCGGCTAAATAAAAGCTCACTTCAACTTGTGGGCGGTGCGGGTGGCGCAGGGTGGATAGCGACAGGACGGGGGATGGGGAGGGGGAGGGGTTGCGGGGCGGGTTTGTTCCTGGTGTTAGCTTCGGGTTGCTCGATGTTGTTGCTGTTGTTATTATTTTCGCTGTTGTGTGCAGCGGATTATTTAAGTTTACAATACGCTTAGGGGTAATTTTAATCTGTTGCAAATTGTTTTTGTTGCTTGCCTCGCTGCAGACGCAACATCGACGACTCGCCAATCCCCACAGCCCCGCCCGCACCCCCTCAGTCAGCCGCACAGTGACAACAGTCGGACAAGCCACCCAAAAATCAGCTTCTATAAAACATCTTTTTGCATTGCCTCAGTTGCTGCTGCTCTAGTGCCTGTTTTTATACCCTGTACCCTTTAAAAAGAGGGTATATGGTTTTTTGTTTCCACTCATGTAACAGGCAGAAGCAATCCAATCTCATAGAGATTGGCACGCGGAGCTAATCTTGATATTTGAAATATTTCAATATATTTTCCCACAAATCGATAAATATCGATTTATCGACAATTATCAGAGCTAGATTAACCAAACTTGGCGTGTCGCTTCTCGTGTAGTGAATAAAGATAAATAATATTTCACTTTCTGGATGCCTCATTCAGGCCTCCAAAAAATGGGGGAAGAAAACTTCTGTATAAGGGTCTCCCCCTGCGCTTTGGTATATGCCAAATTCTTATATGTCATATTTAAGCCTCGAAAACTTACAAAAGATCGGACTTTAGACACCGAAGTTAATCTAGAACACATTACTAAAGCATGGCGTGGGGCAAAGAAAAATAGATTTTTTCTAGTAGGGTATCTCCTAGTCGCGCACGCCCGACCAACTCACTATTATTCGTGTTCTTTTTTCATGTGGCATATACTTGCTCGCATTTGTGGCATATTTCATGGATATGGTAATCCACATGCGTGTATGTGGGCAGGGTTGGGGCTGGGGCAGGTTTCGACTGTGATTTGGATTTTGGTTTTGCTGCTGCAGGGGTCCGTGGGTCGTTTCATTAGGCGAGTGAGGCGGCAAGTGGGCGTGCCTGTTTGCCCGCTTGGGGAACAATTGCAATTTCACTTTTTTCGGAAAATGGGTTTTCATTTTGCGTTTTTTGCATATACAATTTATGCGGCAAGCGCTTGAAGGAGGGTCAGGGTCATAACCAGGGAAAATTCGTTGCTTTATCATTCGATGGAACGAAGCATTAGGAAGAGGCAAGTGAGGCAGCGCTTAGAACTTGAGGAACGGTGCTGGCAATGGAACACTGCATGTGTAATGAACTCTAAGTGGTACACTGGAAGTGGAACATGCATATAAGCAAAGAGTTCAACTTTATGTCTTGTTGTTTATTCATTTCAACTGTTCCGCTGGAAGAGGTGCGTGGATGAAACACTTCCGGCGCAAGCGACTTAAAGTGGAACGATGAAAATGAAACACAGACTTAAGCAAAGCTAAGTTCATTGTTTCAGTTCAACATGCTGCACAATTGGGTATCGGATCAATGACGATTGTTGCATTCCCGCTTGCGCCGAGTGGAACAGTGGCAATGAAACACGGATGAGAGCCGTGCAAGGCGCACGGACATGCATTAGATATGCCTTATAAATGCCTTAGATGCCTGATTACCGTCACACTGTATTATTTCCGCATTCCGCCAACTATAATATCAATGCTGAAATGAATTAAAGCAGGCCGCGACACAAAGTGGAACATTGGCTATGAAACACCGTAAGGCGAGCAGAGCAGAGCTCATTGTTTCACCTCAGCATTCCGTTGAGCACCATTTGATATCAGGGAAATAGCGATTGTTTCATTTCCGCTTGCTCCGAGTGGAACAGTGGCAATGAAACACGGATGAGAGCCGTGCAAGGCGCACAGACATGCATTGGATATGCCTTGACGCCGGCTAAGATTCCTGTGGACCGCCACAGTGTCTCATTTCCGCATTCCGCCAACGAGAATCTCAATGCTGAAATGCGAAAAGCCTCACCTTTGCGAATTCTAGTGAACGGTGCAAATGGAGCAAAGTTTTTAGCACCAGAATATGCAAGTACTTTTTGATACGATTAGCTTCTCAACATGTGTGCCACATAAGATCCGCACACTATTTGCGCTTTACAGAGAATTACGCATAATTGGCAGCGAAGCGGCACGTACCAAAATCAATTCCCATTTACTGAATAAGTGGTCTATAATTTTTATTCTTAATTATTCCAGCTCGGTGTAGTTTATGCTAAATATTTCCCAATTACAACAACAATTTTCAAATTCGTTAATCAGAAAGAAAAAAAAAAGGAGAAACTTGGGGGAAAAATTGATTTGAACATTGCAAATTTTCCACATAGCGACACGTGGCCAGATGCCAATGAGATCAGCGATCGCCGCTGACATCACGCAGAAAAATAAAAGTATATTAAAATAATATGGAAAACCATAAACATAAATGGGCAAATGATTATAATAAAAACAAATCAATGGAAACCCAAAACTGCCAGCTATATATATATGTACATATATATGCATATATAAAGAAAACTACTTCAGAATAAAGAAAATAAAACCAATTTTTGATGGCGCATTCGTGAGTGAATCAATTAAATGAAAATGAAATAATTGAAATAAGAAAAATAATTAATTTTAACTCACCCTGTGGCTGGGGCTCGGGTACGGGTGCGGGCTGACGATCTTGACCGCGATCTTGTTCGCGGTCTTGTTCGCGATCTTGTTCGCGATCTTGTTCGCGATCTTGTTCGCGATCTTGTTCGCGATCTTGTTCGCGATCTTGTTCACGATCTTGATCTTGATCCTGATCGGGTCGTGGTTCGGGCTCGGGTTCAGGTTCGGGTTCGGGCTCATCTTCCTCTTTATTGGGGCAACCAGCCTCGTCTGTCTCATCGTTACAATGTATCCGGCCATCGCAGCGCATAAAGAGCGGCAGGCAGCGATCGTCGCACTTGAATTCATCATCTTTGCAAACTAAGTAAGGCAAAAAGCGCAAAGCAAAAGGAATGCAAAGGAAATAAATAAATGAACATATCGATTTAAAATAGCTGATGAAACAAAGTTTACAAAACGGATGAACGAACGATGAGAGATCGATACAAAATATCGATCTAAAAATAAATCGAATCTCGAATAGCTGATGTATAACTAAGCGATCGATCGATTGATTGACTAACTGATTGAATGAAACTTGGTCTATGTTTGGGCCGAATTTAGGGCTCTCAATTCAGACTTAAGATTAAATGACGATAGTTTTATAATTGATTGATTGATTGAGTAATTTGAAACTGATAGATGTAATGGAATTGATCATGTTTTTGATTGATTGATTGAATGAAACATGTTCTACCTTAAGGTTATTTTGTGGGCTCTCAACTCAGACTTAAGATTAAATGACGATAGTTTTATAATTGATTGATTGATTGATTGATTGATTGATCACACGAAACATTCGCTTATGTTAAGGTTGATGTGCGGGCTTTTAACTCTTATTTGAAATTGATTGACGTAATAGAATTGATCATATTTTTTGATTGATTGATTCAAAGTTGATATATGTTAAGGGGGCTCTTAGTTCTTATTTAAGTTTAAATGACATACAAGAATTAAGGATCCTGTTTGTTGATTGATTTATTGGTTTATTGATTGCTTGATTGAGTCAAAAGAGGTAAAGCCTGATTCTTTGACTCTCAACTTGAATTTTAGTTATCATGACATTTGATTCAGTTGAAAATCGAACTTTATGATTGATTGATTGATTGATTCAGTGAAAAATTGTCTAATTTAAGGCACATTTTTCGCTACTCAATTCGAATTTTATACTAAATAATATGTGATAAGAGTTAATGATCGTGGTTTTTTGGAGATTAATTGATTGATGGATTTTTTACTATAACTCGGACTGATTTGCGGGCTTTCGACTTGAACTTTCGATTTAATGATAGAGTTGACGACCTATTTTTGTTTTTTTAAGATGATCATTACCCTCGAGGGTCCCGGTACAATCTTCTTCATCTTCGCCTTGGGGACAATTATTTTTGCCATCGCATCTCATCTCGTCGCAGACGCGAGTGTTGCTGCGGTAGCAGTAGAATGTCGAGTCACCTCGGCATTCCGGTTCTCCGGAGCCATCTTCCTCGTCAGTCGGTTCGGTCGTTTCAGGGGCGTTAGGATCTAAGTTGTGTGTAAGTGTGTGCGGTTGTGTGTGTGTGTGTGTGTGTGTATAGGTGTAGAGGTGTGTGTGTGTGTGCGTAGAGGGCACGTTAAAAAACAAATTAGCAGTCTTTTAAACAAAAATATTGTAAAGAAACAAAGCACACATAAAATTAAGGGCTGGGACAATGAGCTACATACAGACGAAGACAACACATAGTGGGAGCAAGAGTGAGAGAGAGAGATAGAGAGGGTGGAGAGGAAACAAGCAAATGCGAACACAGTTTGGCGTTAGTATATATGTTTTCTTATGTGTAGTTTTATAGAATCCCGAATGGAAATTTGCAAGAATCCTGCATCTAGCTATGCATGCAGGACTCTGTTGATGTCTTGTCATGTCAGTTGTCATGCAGGACACTCTGCGTGTCATGTCTGCACTGTTGTCTTCGCGAATTTTGAGACAATCGTTTCAGCTTAGGCCAAACTTCTTATGATAATCTTATTACTGGAAATGTTGACAGTATTCCGCGCTTAATCTTTGCATTAATACACTATTTGTTTGGCTTGCATGATCTAAACCAAAGGAGTAAGCGTCTAAACAACAACGATTACTCTGCTTTTTGACACAGGACGGGGTTAATGACATGTCATTGAAAGCAGTTGGCTAATGGACAAGCTTGATGACATGTCACTGAAATTCTCATCGAGCATCCGATAGCCAGCTGGGATAATCAATACAGCAGAATGGCAAAGGTTGAGCTGGGATTTCTTTACTTTTAGCAGGGCTGCAAGCCTATAGAAGTGCTTTATTAAGTAAATATGCCGATAGCTGAGAATTCCGGGCTCGCATCTGTTGGAGGTTTGCAGCCTCGCTTTACAGAGAAAAAGAGAGCGCTCTGTTAATTACAGCCGCAGTTACAGTTACAGCTATGTTAATTGTTTTACAGATTAGTTGAACGTGCTTTCAAAATGTTGTTATAGTTTTCGTGTGAGCGTGTGTGCATATATGTGTGTGCGTGCGTGTGTGTGTGTGCGTGTGTGTGTGTTAGTGTGCAACAAATTTGTAGACTAAACATTATCAAAATTCCCCATCCAAACACAGCGTGCGCACTGACAGAGACAGAGACTAGGAGTAGAGAGTGAGAGTAGGGGCGGGGGAAACAAACCCTGATTGTTGGGCGCGAGCTGGCACACTTGATTGTCGCCCTCGCCAATGCAATAGATCTCAGTGCGCTTGGCCTCTTGGCGTGCACTGCAGAAAGCCGGATTCTCATCGGAACCATCGTCGCAATCCTCCCGCCCATTGCAGATATCGTAGCAGGGTATATTCGCGATATAGCCGCTCTCGCACTGAAAACTATCATCGTTGCCATTGCATTGATCGAAACGCGGCACGCTGGAGCTATCAACGGACGTGGACGTCGCCTCTTGCGGCACGGGCACAGGCACAGGCACAGGCTGGCCGCTGCGGCGGACACACAGATCGGGATTCTCGTCGGAGGCATCGTCGCAGTCGGCGCGTCCATTGCATATGTTGTAGCAGGGTGTGCTCAGCTTGTCGCCGCTCTCGCACTGGAAATCATCGTTTTCCGACTCGCAGTCGGTGGAATTTGTTATCGAACTCTTTCGATTGCGATGATCGCACAGTTCCGGACGCTCATCAGAGCCATCTTCGCAATTGTTAATGCCATCGCAAATTTCATTGCAATAGATCTGATAGGGACGGCCGCTGTTGCATGTGAAGGGCTCGTCATCGGAATTGCACAGATCGCCATCCAGATCAACATCCGCATCGGCATCCAAATCAACGTCCGCATCCGCATCCGCATTCCCATCTGCATCCACATCTGTATCTGTATCTGTATCTGTATCTGGATCCGCATCTACACCGACATCCTCATCCTCCTCCGGATAGACCGTGGCCAGCGGCACACTGGGCCTGGCATAGGGATTCGGATAGCGCAGCAAACGACGCCGACACATCTCCGCATTCTCATCGGAGCCATCCTCGCAATCGGGCCGCCGATTGCAGGTGTTCGCGCAGGGCACGCTCTCAATTTCGCCGCTCTCGCAGACAAACTCGTCGGTGTCAAAGTCCCGCGGGCTGCTGCACTGGTCATCTGTGTGTGTGTGTGAGTGTGGGTGTGTGTTAAGTGTGTGTGCGTGTGTGTGGGTGAGTGCATTTGGATAGTTTTTAGCCACAGCTACGCATAAGTATTTATTTACAGTGTTGTGCGCTGCTCGAAAAGCTTTTAGTCAGGAGCCTAAAATTCTACAACTGAAAGCTTGCACAGATCGGCGTTTTCCAACACCAAAAGCGTTTTCGAATCGTTTCGCATTCCGATATTTATTGAGAATTCGTTAAAAGAAACTTACCCAATATCAGACGGAAATAGAAATCATCGTCCAGCGAGGCGCTCTGATTGCCAATCCGATTGTATGTCTGCAGCTGATGGCGCAGCTTGCTCTCGAAGTCCAGCACATCGGTGGGTATATCCAGATTGACAATCACATAGCTCTTGTATTGATCGTTTGTCGGTCTAAACGATAATTGCAGTTAGAGATTGATATTAGTTAGCGGTAAGGGGAGCTTGGGTTCGTATTTAAAGCAGAATTTCACTTACTTCAATCAAAAATGATTGATTCAAACCAAATGTGAAATATATTGTGACACTGTGTGTACTATACGAGCGTATGCATACCAAATTAAAGGTGTGAAGTGCCTAAAAACAATGAAATGTGCTCTAAAAGCCTGATTCCTGATCGATTTAAGGTAACGTAGCAAATTATCGATTATTTGAACCGAGCTTTAGTTCGAAATTTCAAGTCTCTCACTCTAAGATTTGTCGAGCTCGGCAATCAGACAAACAGATTTATATATATATATCGATATATATCGACTCGACTATGGATGCAGGCCAAGTATATATATAGATGCGTGTTTCTGCCTCTTGCATGCATTTACATAAAATCCGATTAGCAAGTTTGAATACAAATCGATAGGCGAATAAATCGATAATTATCGATTTTCAGATGGGCATAGCTCGCAACTCATAAGAGCTAGCGACATCTAGCTTGGTTTGTATGCTATTTTTATTTTAGACATAGTTTACACAAATCCAGAAGATTTCACACATGGGATCACCTAGCGCGGTCATTGACGCCGGATGCAAGCATGCTCTAAGCTCTGGCAATCGACTTACCCGACTTGCAGCAGAGTGGAGCGCAAATCGACATCGTCGTCATCGCCCTCGTAGGAGCGCCGGAAGAGTTCGCGCATACCCAGGCCAATCTCCTCGGTCAGATTGAGAAACTGTTCGCTCTGCTTGTCATTAAAGTCGTTCTCGTACGGCTCATTGACGGTGAATCGTGTGCGGTCTGAAATGTGCGTGAATTACAATTGCAGCTGGACTGCGATTTGGCGTTGATGGATTCAATTGAGACTCACATAGAACGGTTTCCAGGCCATCGTTGCCGGAGCCCACCTCGTTCTCGTAATCGTCGGAGGCCCGTTTCCGGGGACTGATCGGACGTTGTTGTCGCTTCTTGAGCGCGGCACGCTTCTTGAGGGCCGGCTTCTTGGCTCGCTTCTGCCTGTGATGGACATCGTTGCCGCCAAAGAGCCGATTCAGCTCGCGACGCACACGCCTCACGCCCTGATGGAACCAATTGCCCTCCACGGCTGGCTCGTCGCTGAGTGGCGTATACGGCTGCAGATTGTCGGACCCCGTGAACGGGGTCTGATCCTCCAGATCGAAGAACATGTTGTCATTGTCATCGAGACTTGAGATTTGCTGCAAGTACAAACATTAAGGTTCAATATTAATATGCTTAATTCCGCTTCTTCTTCTACATATGTACATATTTATATTTAAGTTGAAGGATTTGGAGATACTATGGTATATTTGAATAATAAGATGTTTCCACAGCTGGATTAGATATTCGAAATGATTTCTAAAAGATTTCAGAATATCTAAAAAGAAAGTAATAAGAGTGCTCTCGTCGGGAGTGCACGACTTGGAGATACCTCAAAGCAGCGCCGAGCTGGTTTTTAGTCTGTCTATACGTGAATCTTATAGCTTACGAGATAGAGATAAACATAAAAATAGGTCTTATTTTTTTTTTTTTTAAATTTTACTGAAAGAAGGTTTGAAACCCAACTAGTATAATTATATCCTATTTATTAAGCTAACTAGAGCTCTACTATTTACAGCGATTTTGTTTGGGCATAGAATACTATATAAACCTTATATTCATATATATATATGAGATTTGGGCTGAAAAGCTCACCACACCAAATTTTATGCACACAAGCACACAAAAGTCAAAGCTTTCGTTCTCATTGTGGGTTGTGTTCCATGCTAAAAGCAAAGCTTTCACAGTTTAGCATGCACTGCAAAGTACGAGAGCTTCTCAACACAGCGTCGTGCGCTGTTAAGCTTAACAGGCAAAAGCTCAACGCTGTGAAACTCGCCTGTTAACTGCCTACCAGCAATGTTAAGTGGAAAACAAACAGTTGAAGTAGAATCAAGCTGAAGTAGTTAAGGGGCAAATGTAGGGAAGAGTATTTATACAATATAAAGAAAGTTTCTGTTAGCTATAGAAGAAAAATAAATGTAATATTTTTTCTTGCTCATTTTAGCTAATCCAAGCTGAGTTCTTGACAAATGCGAAAAAAACATAAAAAAAAGAACTAATTTTTAAAGCTAAAGCCTTGCACATTTCCATGTCATAATGAAGCTCCGAAAATACATAGACCGGACTTTGAATACCGAAGTTAATCAAGAGTGTATTTCCCATAAAGGGGAAAGACGCGGAAAAGTCATTTCATTTCAGATAAGCCTAAAAGCTGCCTTGGAATGAATTAATTTGGTTTGAGCATAGATTTAATTTATTCGGAAGAATAGAAAATATTCGCAATAAATTAAAAAATAGTTGACTTCACTTTTTTGGTTAATCATTTTTATTGCTGATTACAAACGGGCAATATGTGCGTGTGTGTGTGCGTGTGTATGTGTGTGTGTGTGTGTGTGTGTGTTTTACGCCATTTGGCCGCATTTCTTGTTCTTGAGGAACTGAATTGAATGACTTGAACTTCTATAAAAAGCATTTACGCAATTTGTGCCCCAATCGATGAAGCATTTGTTTCTCCTGCCGTTCGATTCCTCAATTAAACCAGTCATAAAGTGCGTAGCAGTGGAGTGTAACCGACTGCTGTTTGCTCTTTCTGCAGTTGAATCTGTCGGAAATGAGTCTGATTGATTCCAAAACTGTAAGCCCAGAGCAATTACTGTCAAACTGTGCCTGAGAAAACACTCGCATTTTATCTGTATATCTTTTTAGAGTAACTTTTGAGCAGCTGAACTGTTAAAGTGGCAGTCGCTGGTTCTAAATCTGTCATTTTAAATATTTAAGAGCATATACATATATGCCATATCGTAAAGCCATAATTGTTCTGCCACCTCTTCCATTATGACGCTCAAACTGTGCGAAACAGAGCTAGTCAAACTTTCGTTTTCAACACTCTTTTTTTCTACATTTTGGAAAACCACCTTTAAAGAACAAAATGTTCTTCAGTTTCTTTACAAATTTCTATTTTAGGCTAATTTTTTCTGACTATGAGAACATTTTTTTTGTAATTTTTTAAATTTAGGTACCTTTTTTTTTTTGAATGTAGCTTGATTGCAATTTTCTGCTGCATTTTCTATGTTTTTCCTTCAAAGAATTTCAATCGCTGCCCCATCGATTATTACTTTCCCAGTGACCCATAAATGAAAAATGTTTTTCAACATTTTTTCTTTTGCTTGATCAATTTATGAGTGCAACAAGTTGCAGCCGGGGCCAGGGGCTTGCGGCAAATGGGGGGAGGGGGGACGGGCTATTTTTACACGCCCAATTGAAATTCAAGTGTCAATTCTTTATGGCCATTTTCTTCGGTTTCCCTCTCACTTTTTCTCCCACTCTCCCTCTCTCTGTGCTCGCCTACAATCTTTGCCCATATGCGGTAGCTCTTCCTTCAAATAGAGCCCACCCTGTCATATTTCAATTGTGATAAGTCCAAGTAACAGGGAGATATATAAATATAGTGACTCCCTGCCAGCCACTGGTTTGGTCTATTTGCAGTTGGGCATGCGGTTGGAAAGTCTTGAGTTCTACTCTTGAGTTCATCTTTATTACGTCTTTCATTTGGCTAAATATATTCCCTTTTTCAGTCGAATATCTTCCAAGATGGCTTTAAAACCAAGTGACTCAGTGCCCTTTAAACTGTAGCATTAAAATATGTTATATTTTAGA